CTTCAGACCTGACAGCGGACTGTAAGGGCGCCAGCAAAAGTGTACACATGCAAATGAAAGCCTCATGCTTCCCAATGGAGCTTTAAATGGGTGCATTTTAAATGAACCATAACTCAGCTAATAACAACTAGTAATTATTAGGTGCTAGCTAGGTGTACAAATGACCTACCAAACACATGTGTGGCTGCTAAACTAAAGGTTAGAGTTTCAAAGTTTATTAAAATTGTCTCAGAATAAAGGTCTGGTTATCTTTTACCAAAATTCAGCTATCAAAAATCTTCAAATTTCCACTTTTTTTAAATTAGCAGTTGGGTGTTTAACACTGTGCCACCAGGGCTCCTACTAACAACTCTATGGGCACAAACTATACTGACACACATAGGATTGCTATAAATTAGAATAAAACTATTTATTGGCAAATAGTTGTGTGTAAGTCATTGCTCTCAAATGATGTAGATGTGTTAACTTATTTAATACTCCAAAGTAATCTTGATAGCAACATAGTATTATAAAACTTCCTAGATGAGGTCATTAAGGCACAATAAATCATTGTTATAGGCTAAAGCTAGAAAATTTGAGAAGTGACAGAGCCAAGATTTGAATGCACACAGTTTGAAACCAGAATCTTTGAGTTTAATCATGAAATTCTACTGCCTTCCTCAGTCACAAACTGAGCTCTGCTTCTAAAGTTAAGAATGCATTAGTCTCCCATTGACTTTGAGACACTAATACCTTACAGAATCCTAACAAATACTACAATCAACAAATACCTTATGAAATCCTAACAAATACACTTGAGGATAGGCTAAAACATGCAAAGAACTTAGGTTCTGCATGTTTTTGTTTTTGTGGGCTCTTTTATCTGTATCTTTATTTTTTTATATTCTTTTCTCCTCTTTTTTATTATTAATTTTAATGAAAGTTTTCAGAGACTTTGGATTTCCATTCATTCATTCTTGCACTTTTTCCTCTACCCCTGCGTCGGCCAATTCGCTCTTGAAAAGTAAAAGAAAAATTCTTTCATTCTTATACAGTCCCTACTACTCCCAAGTCCACTCCATCAAGCAGCCTTTGTTCTCGACTCCTTTCATGACAATAGTACCTAATCATCTATCCCTTTTAAACAGTTTTCTCCCTCATCTGTTTCAATGCAATATACATTATTTATCCCCTCTTTCTCAGTCTCCCCCAGCCCGCAACCCTGATGTCAGTCCCATTTTACAACAGTGGCACTATGCAGGATTTGTCTTTCTGTGACTGATATATTTCACTCAGTATAAGGACCCCCAGGGTCACCCATTTTGAATAATATTTCATGAGTTTCTTGTTTTTCAATGCAGTGTAGTATTCCATTGTGTAAATATACCAGAGTTTCTCTATCTATTTGTTTTTTGATGGGCACTTAGGTTGTTTCCAACTCTTTGCTATAGTGAACAAAGCCATGATAGACATGGGTGGGTACTGCCTGTTTTTTTAATGTTATGTGTGGTCAGGTAGATTTTGACACATCATCACTCTTTTTAATAAGTTAGAAAGAACTATTTCATAGGTTTCCAAGCTGGTGGCATAGTGAATTATGTTTCAATGCTAACTGAAAGATTGGTAGTTCAAATTTATCAACTGCTCTTTGGGGAAAAGATAAGTAATGTCCTCTTATAAATATTTGCAATCTAGGGGAGCTCTGGTGGCCTAGTGGCAAGGAGCTGCAACTACAATCCCAGGGGTGCACAGTTCAAATACACCAGATGCTCTGCCGGGGAAGGAGGGATAATCTCCTCCTGTACCAGTCAGATCTGATTTGACGGTACACTCACACAAAAATAGTAAAATTAAAAAAAATGGAAAAAAATATTTACAATCTTGGAAACCTGATGGAGGGTTGCTGCAAGCCAGAATCACCTTGATGGCTGTAGATTTGGCTTCAGTTGATTTGGAGTCTATTCTTCATGATAAAGGAAACTTGCTGTGCAGTGGAACATTTGTCTGTCAACTGTGAAAGCAACTGTTCAAATACACCAGAGGCTCTTTAGTATAAAAGATCTTACAATCTGCTCTTATAAATATTCATCACTGCTGAACCAATTATGACTAATAGAGCTCCTCCAATAGGCTTTGGAGGCTGTAATCTTTATAAGAAAAGATTTCCTCAGCTTTCTTCCCTGTAGCAGCTGATAGCTTCAAACTACTGACATGGATACTAACCCAACAGGTAACTCATTAGATCACCAGGGTTTCTTTCCAAGATATCCTAGAACAAAAAAAAAGTTTTTAAGCAATTCTGCTCTGGCACAGAGCCTTGCTATGAACCAGAATAGACTCAGTGGCCTACAACAATCTTTATTAAAGATGGTTGTCAGGCCTTTTCTACCGTAGGTTCAAATCACCTATCCTTTCCTTAATAGTCTGGTGCTTAGCTGTGCTACAAGGGCACTATCATGTACCACATCTCTCTAAATCTCAATGAAATCTAGTTGAAACTGACTTAGCTGATTTTCTAGCAGGTTTCTGAGCCTGTACATTGCACAGGGGAGACTGCTTGTCTTTCTTTTGTCAATGGGCTTGAACTCCCAGAGAGGTAACTGTCTTTTTGAGTTAGCAGCACAACTCCCTATGGATGAGACCAACAAAACTCCCATATATGCTGTGCATCGCTCATTGCCATCTGGTTGGAACCAACTTTTAGTTGGGTTTTGGGACTGTAAATCACATGAGAATAGATTGCTCTCTCCAGAACAAAACTTATCCTGTCCTGCACTAGCATCACAATCTCCACCAGATTCATATCCATTTCTGTAGTCAGTCACTATGTCAATCTGTCTAATTGAGAATCTTCCTCTATTTTGCTCACCCTCTATTTTTCGCAGCATGATATATTTCCCCAAGGACTGGCACTTCCTGACAATATGCCCAAAGCATGCTGTTTTATGATTGCTTTAATGGCTACCCTAAAAGTGCCCTGATATAACTGTACATTGTCTTTCATTCTGTTACTATTAGCTGTTTGCCTTAAGTCAGCTCCATATTCATGGCAGGTCCACTAATACTATCAGATCTTCTACCAGCCATGATCAGATAGTTGTGATCCCAGGATTTTCACTAGCTAATTCAGGTCTCGCCTCCTCATCCATCTTAGCCTGGAAATATCCCTGCAGTGTTTTTAGCATCACAACAGTAATATGTTATTGACAGGTGGATAGGAGTTGCACATGATGTGTGTTTTCCAGGAGTGATCCTTAGTTTCCCTTATGGATGGTCAGAAGTCTTCCAATGAACCATGGAGAATCAAGTCTCGCCCTCACAGATCAGTGGTACATAAAATGGAAGCAAGCATGAGAAGACATCAAATGACATCTCTTGCTACAGATGCTGGATTCATACACAATTTCAGAAATGTAATCTTAGGTTATTTTCACAAGATGCTGGGGAATCTCGGCAGAGGGAACCATTCCCCCAGCCTAGCCGGTGGTTATGGCTGGAGAAGCTGACTTGCCCTGTGTCTTACGCTGGACTGTGTAAATAAACAACACAAACTACATGCATTGTCTCATTCATTCTTACATTTAGCCAGGGAAGCACTGAGGCTTATTCAGCCTCAGGGTAGAAAATTACATGTTGGAGAGAAAACCAGTCACATTATAAAAATGACAATGTAATTCAGATTCTGCTCATTCGCATATTTTATTTATCCAGTGGAGAGAAAAAAGACAACTTGAAGGTGGCACAAATTCTGAGAGAATATCAAGGTCACATCTTCTATCTCATCCAGTATCCTTTAAATCCACAAATTAAATAAAAGTGCAAAGGGATGAAAGGAGCACTGGTTAGAGATTACAACATCTTAGAGAAAGGAGACCCCTTTTAAGGTTAATATCTAGCAAGGGACTTCTTATCTGAGGATGGCTTACTTTTGACTTTATAAAAATATGAGAATATTATATAAATTCCTTGTGTTGGATAATAAGGTTATGTACTGTGTGGCAAGCTGCTGGCTTGGTAGCTTCCTGGGAAGTCAGAGTCTTTAAGAATCTGCATAGGGAATATCTTTGGGATAGAGACACAATGACACAAGGTAAAAACATATTTCATACGTTTGAGTAGGAGGGTCTTCACGCAATACAGCTCAGAACCCTCATTTTACTGCTGGGGAAACTGAGGCCCAAGGATAACTCTTAATTTATTTTCCCAAGGTCTCAAGGATAGTTAGCAGAAGTTTAGATTTCTTGGCTTTGTCTTAAGTGCTTCTGAACACTGCATAAATGATTACTGCTGTTGTGTTGTTTTGTTAGGTCAGCTCCAACTCATAGTGACTCTATGAACAACAAAATGGACCCCACCTAATCCTGCTAAGAATACCACTAGTGATAATTTTTGTTTGTTTCAAGAATCTTAATTGAAAATATTATTCTTTCTATATTTAAAAAGTGGAGAAAACGAAATTCTTTTCAGAGCACTCAGATCAACCTCTATGCAATCTGAGGAATGCCATGTGTAGATAGATTTAAGAGACTAATGCTTGGGCCAAAATCGGGGAGTTCCAATTTTCTATGAGCACACATGATAGATACTCTCTTACACAGAGTGAGACAAGAATGGGAGACAGCACCAAGCAGGAAGAGATTAGAAAAACCAACCTTAAAAAAACAAAACACACCACATTTGCCAGTAGTAAGGCTGGTCTACACTGTTGAGTATGGTCAAACAACATGGAGAAGGACACAGAGCCACGTTAGATGGGAGGGATATTTCACAGGGGCTCCTGGTGGTCACATGGGGCACCTGTTTGAAGCATTAGATGTCTGTGCAAAAATGAACGCATGACATCAACCTTCACCTTGACCTAAGTCCCTGAATCTCTTGAGGCTGAGTTCACTCACTGTGTTGGCCAAAGCAAAACACAGACCTGCATCAAGTGAATGCCAAATCTTTGTCATCTCAAAACCTGGTCATCATCTTAACCATGTGCATAAACTACAGTAGACGAGAGCCGGTTGGGGACTGGTTCAAGTGGCTGATGTCGGCTGGACATTTTGAACCCTTGTCAAGGTGACGGGGATTTTAGTTTCCCCAGGACCTGGAGCTTTTGTGATGGGCTGGGTGTGGACCTTGATGTCTGCGATCCGCTCTTTAAACTTCTGCTGCAGGAATTTTTCTTCTTTGGAGTAGCTTTTGGCAAACACTGACATGAGCAGGCACCCTGCCATGGATGTGCCCCCAATGCAGAAAAGCACGGCGCCTGCCAGCTTGCAGGTGTCGAGGGCACCGTTAAATTGGACGGCATGAGTGTCGACCACCACGAAATCGGCTTCACCAAAGGCTTCAATCTTGGGTGGCACCAAGAAGCCCACAGCCAGAACAGTCAATCCGAGAATCACAAAGACTGTGCCTGAGATGAGTCCGACCTGGGTTAAGGATTAAGAGAAGAGAAATTCAATAAACAAGGGTGGTCAGTTTTATGAGATCTTAAAATCAAGGCATATTTACTAATGGAAGAGTTTACACCCCTTTACATCAAATGTGCATGAAAAAATTATTTTCTAGTTAACAAAGAAAGACTTTTCTAACTTTAATGCCAACCAGAAACTGAATTTCCTCAGGAAAGTCTTGGTTTTTCCTACCAATTTTCTCTTCGTACAATCCTTTATGTTTGGCATACTTTTTATTTACCTTGTCTCATTTTATCTAGTGAAGGAGTAAAATAACTCTGATATCCAGGAACTTGCCTGACATTGATCATCACAACTCAATGCTGGTAGAAGCTGACCCAGTTCTCAAAGTTAGTTCACAGGGTTCTTTTCTTGGACTTAATCTCCCATAATATCAACACTAGATAAGTCACTATCTCACTGTGATGGAATCAGACAAAATAAGACTCTCTATAATTTTGCCTGAATGTAGACCTAAAAAAAAAAGTCCACAAAATAACACCTCTCCCCTTTCTCATAATACATAGGAGTTAACTTCTACTTCGCTAATTTAGCTTTGGTTACATTTTTGGCAGTAGGTCCTACTTTGTCTTAGTCTAGAAGCTGTGCTGGACCCTATCCACCAGTGAGATGATATTGTTCATATTGGAAATATTGGTGGTACAGTTACCAACATCATAAAAATATGCAAACTACACAGGATGACAAATTGACAAGCAGCTGAAGGATTTACAGGCTTTTGTCTTGCTCTGGTCTGTTGTTTTGTCCTTTCTATAAATAAGATTTATTGGGCCATCAATGATTGAATTGCACATGGATCTTAGTAGCACCTAAATGAAAGTGAACTTCTGCTTCCTTAGAACATCCCCAAAACCACCCAACCAAAAGCTACATTCTTTATATTCTTACTAACCTCTTGTTTAATCAAAACTAAAAACTCAAACTCATTGCTTTCCAGTTGGTTTTAACTCTTAGCTAATCATCCATTGGATTTCCAAGACTATAGGTTGACCATCTTTCTCCCCTGGAATGCTAGTGGATTCAAACCACCAGAGAAGCATGGCTTTGCACTAGCAGTGCAACTCTATAGACTATTCTACCAGAACTACTTTCTTGTTACATGGTTACCTATCATGTTGTTCTTCCCCACTGAGATAAGTAATGAACCCAACCACAGACAGTGATGTTGGCTACAGTCTTTAAAATGACTCATCTTTCCTCAAATAAATAGGCAAGGAAACATTACTGCCAATCTTGAGAGGATGAGGTGATTTGCTTAAGGAAGGTGTAGCTTCAGGACTAGAAATCTCACATTTGACCCCAGTCTAGTGCTTTTTTTCTTTTAACACATGGCTATTTGGGTCCAAATTATGCAAAGGTCATAAAGTATTAATAACAGCAGGCAGAATAGTGGCATCCTGAGAAGGGAATACAGATTGCACTTCACGACACTGTTAGAGGAAGTGATACCGGTGAAATGTTTATACAGCATTTCAACACAACAGATGTATTACTTTTAATATATTTTTTAAAAATTCCTGATGTTATGTTGAAAATAAAACATCTTTTTCATTGTTGTTGTGAGGTGCCGGCAAGTCAAACACAACTTATAGTGATCCTATGAACAACAGACCTGAATCCTGATCTGTCCTGTGCCATCTTCATCATCTTTGATATACTTGAACCCATTGTTGTAGTCACGATATCAATATATCTTGTTTGAGGGTCTTCCTCTCTTTCTCTGACCCCACATTTCCAAGCATGGTATCACTTTTCAAGGAATAAGCTCTTTTAACAATATGTCCAAAGTATGAAAGATGAACCTTAGTCATACTTATTTCCAAGGAGTCCTCCGGCTGTACTTTTTCAAGATATACCTATTTGTTCTTTTGGCAGTCCATAGGATATTCTGTATTCTCCAACATCACAACTCAACGGCATTAATTCTACTTCTGTCATCCTTATATATTGTCTATCTCTCAGATGCATAGAGAATGATTGAAAGGACCATGGCCTGAATCAAGGGCACCTGAGTCTTCAAACTAACATCACTGCTTTTCAAGATTTTGGAGAGGTGTCTGACAGCAGATTTGACGAAAGCAACGTGTCTCTTGATCTCTTGGCTGCTGGTAACAATGGTGTTGATTGTGGATTCAAGTAAGACGAAATAATTAACAGTTAAATTCTTTCTCTATATTTTATGATGTTGCTTATTGGCCCAGTGATAAAGACCTTTGTTTTCTTGATGTTGAGATGTAATCCATATAAAATCTTTGAAGTTCTGAAGCAAGCATTTCAGTTACTCCACACTTTCAGCAAACAATGAAATCCTCTGAATAATGCAGAATGCTGATGAGTCTTCCTCCAATCCTTATGTCACTTTCTTATATAAAGAGTGTGGTTTTTATGAATTATTTGCTCAGCATACTAATTGAATAGATATAGAGAAAGAATAGAACCCTTATGCATATCCTTCCTGACTTTAAACTAAACTGTGCAGTGTTCCATGCAGTTATTTCCTTAAGCTTAGAATATATGGATTAGTGTATGTATAAGGTTAAAACTCTGTGCTAATTTACCTTTGCACTTGCTCAGATTTGTCATTATTTCCCAATTACAATGACCTTTCAAATCATATGGTTTTATTTCTGCACTACAAACTCACACTGTTGTTTTCATTGCTACAGGTGCTTTTACAATCACTGACTGTGCCAATTTTCCTGACATCTTAGCTATAATATAATTGTAATAAGTATTTCCAAACATTTTGAGAATTAAGTGGTAATCAAAGGAAAAGAAGGAGAAAAATGTTGTAACTAATAATGCAACCCATTAGTAAGATTTTTAAAAGACAATTTTATTAACAATATCCATATAAATGTAAGAAATAATTCTATTTAAGCAAGATAAAAATTTACAACCATACTTATTATATATTACTGTATGATTAAAATTGCTAGTAAACATTATTATGAATTCTGCTCTGGTAGTAAAGTCTGTAGAGATTTCTATACTAAAAGTCAATACTGTCTATAGTGATCTTAATCAACTGTAACTTCAACGAAGAAAGATGAGCAATACCATCCTGTGTGAATTATAGCCACAGAAACACAATGGAGACTAAATTATGGGTTGGTTCTGACACCATGTTATTGACTTTTGAAGTTAAGTACGGTCTCGTACAAAAGGAGAATCATGGTGGGGGTTTGTATGTAGTAGTGGTGAATCCATGAATGAATACCACTTAGATGGTGGTTAAATGGTACAAAATCAGGTTCTAATAAAATATAACTACCCTGGTTTAAAGTTACAGTGTTTCAAGTAGAAAGAAAAGGAAAATAAAAAAAGAACAAAAAAATAAAATAAACAACAAAGGAAAAAAAGAAAAAAAGTTATAGTGTTTCTAGTGAGGATGAGATTTGGAACTCATTGTTGCCACCTATACCTTTGATATAAGGAAAAATTACTTAATCTCATTATTAAGATAACAATTAGGAGGAAAACTCATCAATAACCTTTGGTATGCAAATGGAACAATCTTGCTTACTGAACGTAAGAAGATAAAGTCCTGGTTGCAGAAGGTCAAAGAATGTTGTTGTCATGTGCCATCGAGTCATGTGTGATTCATAGAGATCCTATGTACGACAGCTCTGAATCTTGCCCTATCTTGAGCCAGTTTCACTGACTCTGAAATACTTAATCCCATCACCCCAGTTACCGTGTCAATTCATTTTATCTGGGATGTTCCTGTCTTGCACTGTACCTCTATCCTTCTAAGCATGTCTGTCTCCAATGACTAGTCCCTCCTGGTCACGTATCCAAAGTATGTGAGTCAGAGCTTCAAAATCCTTGCCTCCAAGCAGAAACTTGGTTTTGTCCTCTCCAAGACAGACCTATTCATTCTCCTGACGGTCCATGGCATGAACAGTACTCTTCTCCAGCACCATAACTCAATGGCACCATTTCTTCTTTATCTTTAATCATTCTCCAGTTCTTTTTTTAATTAATTTATTTATTTTTTCATTATCCAGTTCTTTGATGCTTGCCATGCCATTGCAAAGATCGTGGCCTGGATCTGGTACACCTTAGTCTCTAACTGATGTTATTGCTCCTCAACACTCTAGAAAAGTCTCTGACAGCAGACTCTCCCAGTGCAATTTGTCTTTTGATTTCCTGACTTGATTTTACATATTTTCTAGTAAGTTGGCCAGGCAGTTGTCCTCTAGGTTTCTTGTCAGAACCTGGTGAGCACATTCAAGAACATGTGTCTATTGAAATATATCAGTTGTGATGCTGTTTATTAATTTCTGGGGCCCTGTTTTATGCCAATTCCTTCAGGGCAGCTTGAACATCCTCCTTCATCACCACTGCTTCAATATGGATTGCATCACAATGCCAAGAAAACATAAATTCTTACCACTGGACCAACAGGCAACATCATGATAGATGAAGAAAAGATTGAAACTGTCAACAACTTCATCTTACTTGGATCCATAACTTGGTATCAGCAGTTCAGCGATCAGGAGACATATTGCACTGGGAATGTCTGCAGTAAGGGTCTTCTCCAAATTACTGAGGAGCAATAATGTTAGTTTGAAGACTAGTGTATGTGCCTGATTCATGTTGTGGTATTTTCAATTATTTTCTGTGCATCTGAGAGTTTGAGAATTAATAAGGATGACAGAAGAACTAATGCCTTTGAGTTCTGGTACTGCAAATGAGTACTGAATATCCCATGGACTGCCAAAGGAATGAAAAGACATATCTTGGAAAAGGTGAAGCCAGAGTGTTTCTTGGAGTAATGATGATAAAGTTTCATCTCACATACTTCAGGTATATTGCTAGGAAGTTCTAATCCATGGTGAGGGACATCATAGTTGGAAAGACAGAGAGATGACAGAGTGAGAAAGACTTTTAATCAGATGTATTGACACAGTGACTGCAGCAATGGGCTCAAGTATGTCAGTGATTGGATG